TATTTAACAAACTGGAAGGTATTTCCTCAACAGTCAAGGGGACTGAATTCAATATATTTAAATACTCAGAACCTCCATCCAACGAAAACAAAAGAAGTATTAGTAAAATTATTAAGAGTGGTTTTCCTTTCAGGCTCTCTCCAGGTGGTGAGAGAGATATACTTAAACCATTATCGTCTTCCCACAACCTTGCTTAAGAGACCAATGCTTTTTGTGTAGCTATATTCTATGGTGGCTTATGAACATTATATATCAACACAATATTTAAAATTCATGTAAAACATTGACGACAAAAAAAAAACAAAACTCCAAGATGTCACCACTTTGTTTATTTACATGAGCATATTCTTCTAACCAAATCGGCATGAATGAATACAACATCAACCAATAAATTATCTATTCTACACCATCAATACATTGTTTTTTTTAACCAGTTAAATCTGGTCAAACAAAGTGTTTTGTTTAGGGCTAGAGTTAGATGGCTTTACACTGGTCAAGCCTTTGTGAATAGATATTAGGTTGTGTGAGCATATAAACTGAACTCAGCTAAACCATTGAGAAAGTTGTACTTGTCTATAGGCTAATCTCATTGTCAAAACGTCCCAGCTTTTACGCAAACAAGACAAAAATATTCGAAGTAAATATCTAGAATAAAGAAAACCTTATAAACAAAAAAATAATATATATCCAATAACCTTTCAAAAAGTTTACAATGAGATAAAACAAAAGAAAAGCTAACATATATCATCATACATACATCACAGACATCAAGCATATAGAATTAGTAAGATCTAGATCCTGCATGTTTAGAAACTTTCAATCACCTTCTAAGACCAACCTGTAAAGATATTTCACAATGGGTTAAAGAACATGCAAATTGGTTAACTATTTTTTAATGTTTTCTTTTCTTCTACTACAAAAGAATATCATTATATTTTTTAAAAACAAATTCCCTATACCCCAAGGATATCAAATAGTTATCCTAAATAACAACAGGTCTTGTAATTAAGTCACCAACTTATTCTCCTACTTGCCAGCTAATATTTTTCAAATCAAAAAGTGAATATTATAATTAAATCTGTAAAATAAAGTTACTTTTGCCATCGTTAAGTTATTTAAAATTATGAACAATGATAATTATAACACAACAAGATGTACGCTAGCCCTAAGAAAAATATATCCTACATTGAATCGTGATTATTTTTAAAGAAGCGCAGTTGGTTATTTATTTGAATCACATTCAATAATTATAACTTTCCCTGCCTAATGAGATGTCAAATTTTAAGCGAGAGATAGAGAATTACAAAACCCTATTAGCTAAGTAGACACCTAGTGTGTAATAGAAGAATGTGAATGGCGTCTACTTACAAGCTTGAGTGGGTTTAGTAGCTCCTGATAGCTGGGGGTACATAAGGGCATTCTTGTTGACTAAGTGTGTCATCAATCACAGGACGATAATCTAAAGTTACCTGAAAGTTGACAAGAGAATAAATTAGCTGTAGCATGAGCAATCTTAATTCAATGTGAGTAAAAAAAAACATTTCTTGTACAACTGGATGTTGACAAACTTGCTATAGTATTGGTCAACTGACCCCCATTCTTTACAAAATTGGTCAACTGATCAGCACAAAATAAAATCTGAGTCACTTGACTAATTCTGTACTACTGAATTTACCCTCCAAATGACAGTTGATAAAATAAATAGAAAATTTGACTAAAATAAATAGAAGAAAAATAATCAATATATTTTTTTAAATTTAAAAATTAATGAAGAAATACAAACTTTGCCAGTTTTTTGATCCACATATGCCAAAGTGTGTTTTCTCCAGTGCTGCTCGAAAGGTTTCTTCTGTTGGCCAGCTACTGGCTTGCTATAATCATACTCATCAATACGAGTCTGTAACAGAAGATAAAAAAAATTTAAAGAAAATAAAATTGTTTTTGATTAACTCGTGTCTTTTACGAATGAATACTTGTGCCTTAGTTTTAGAAGGTTATTAAGACATAATCTTCACTTTAGTAGTTGGATGGCAAAAACAAGAACGCCTGTTACTGATATTTTCCCTTTCTCATCTATTTATAGTAATTTGGTTCTAATCAGCTGGAATAACATGAACTTGATGGATGCGATATCAGATTTCTTATGTACATCAGATCTCTTATGTACACCCCCACACATGAGAGTTTAGTCCAACTAGTCTGGGCTTGTTTACATTTTTCTCAGACTGTGCCAGCAAGTCCTAGACAGCACACATCATACACAGTGACTTACACGGAAATCTTCCCTGGAATGGGCTCCTCTGCTCTCCTGACGAGCCTCTGCTCCCACAATTGTCTGGACAGCATTGATCATCAAGTTCTGGAGTTCCAGAGTCTCTACTAGATCTGTGTTCCAGATGAGGCCATGGTCAGACACCTGCAGAGGTCCATAAAATGTATTTAACACTTCAGGTCAACAACAACAAAAATGGTCAAAAAATCAATGTGATAATACTACAAAAACAATACAGACTACAAAAAAATGTACCTTGAGATCCTCCATGCCCTGATAGATCTTGGCCATCTTGTCACAGCCTTCCTTCAACGTGGGTCCATCACGGAACACACTAGCATGGTTCTGCATTGTCTGTGGGACAACAACAAGAACACACTCAAGTCTTGTTAACACATTAAAACAACTTTTTTATAGCAAAAAGAAATAAATTATTTTTTTACTTTTTAATTTAAAAAAAAAAATCACTGTTTCAAATTGTGATGTTTGTTTTTTTCAAAAGGTAATCAGGTAAATAGATACGTAAGTCTTGAATCAGATACAAACCTTTTGCATCTGTAATCTGAGTTCAGCAGTGGTAGTTGAACCCTTAGCATATCTCAGACGGTCAAGATTGGCAACAGATTCCTCTCCTGCATTCTACAGTAAATGAGGTAAAAAAAAGAATTCAATGCAAAAGCTAACAACAAGGGAATAAACCAATCAAACAGACCAAGAACAGTTTTCAAATTTAACATTATACTGATTAAAATAAATAAATAAAATGTAAGACATACCAAATAATGGCAAATTAAGCATGCTTTTTAGTTGAAAAATATACTGTTGTAAGTTCTTATTTCAAATTAATTCTTCCATGCAAAATATTTTTCTAAATTATTCAAGCAAATTAAAAAAACCTAACCTGAAATAGAGTAAACAAATAAGAATTAAATACCGGTTTGATGGCTCCAATCTTGTCTCCAGGTTTATTTTCCTCAGCGATTGTCTTGGAGCAAGCACGGCCAAAGACAACAATATCCAGAAGTGAGTTGGCACCCAGGCGATTGGCTCCGTGCACACTAGCACAGGCTGCCTCACCTGCAGCGTACAGACCAGGGACCACCTCGTCTCCTTTTTCTTTTGTGTAGCGGATTACCTGGCAGACACAAGCATCGTTGTAAATAACGTTAAAATTAATTTTCCGTAAAATTGCTACCATTTACAATTTCTACATTTAAGGGTTGCTGAGTTTATTTACCTGTCCTTTGTAGTTTGTGGGGATGCCTCCCATGTTGTAGTGGACTGTGGGCAGTACTGGAATGGGCTCACGAGTCACATCAACACCAGAAAAGATCATGGCAGTCTCAGAGATTCCTTAGAAAAATCCAGGTAAAGAGTTACTTTGGCATTTACCTGTACGCATTTATGCTTATTTAGTCAGAAATGATTATTTTTAATTTATTACTTTAACTAATACACTCAAAGTAATAGCCATCTCACTGTATAAAAACCATAGTAAATGTTAAGACTTACCAGGGAGACGTGTGTGCAAAACTTCAGGGTCCAAGTGATGAAGCTGAAGGTATACATGGTCTTTGTCCTTGCCACAGCCTCTACGGACACAAGGAAAGATTTCAGTTACACTGGGATCTTAAACATTTTTGGTACATACATTATTACAATAGTCTACATGTGAAGGCAGAAACAATTGCAAGTTTGGGACAGAATAAAAAAAGATTTTGTTCTCAAATGCATTTTTTTAAAACCTAAAAGAAGCATTTAATGTATACATCAATCAAGATTAAAAAAATATATACATACTTAGACAAAACAAGCTCTAGTAGAATGACCGAACATAATACTGACCTTCCCTCCCTGATTTCTATTGTACTGGCACGAGACACTACATCCCTAGAGGCCAAGTCTTTAGCATTGGGTGCATATCTCTCCATGAATCTTTCACCTTGAGAGTTGATGAGGTAGCCTCCCTCACCACGGCAACCCTCTGTGATCAGACATCCAGCTCCATAGATACCTGGACAATAGCCACAAGAAAAACTTGTCAATAATTATTACAGAATACAGGAGACAGACACATTTGTGTATGTTGATCATTCTTGAAACAAGTTTATAAATAGCTACAAAATGATGAAATTAAGAAACTAAAGCAATATTTCTAACATATATTCTAGATAATTTGTTTATTTAAGACAGCATTAACTTAAGTCACATGATACATCCCCAAGGCCATGAATAAAGCTAATTGTTTAGTTAAGGGCTCTTCACATTATTTAGTGTCATTATTAGAATGCTAGAGTTAGCTTATTCATAAAAATATAAATTAATATGGCGTCATATTGAACAAGGAGTTGATAATTTTTAAAAAGAAATCTTTTATGTACCTGTGGGATGGAACTGAACAAACTCCATGTCTTCATTGGCTAATCCTGCCCTGTTGACCATAGCTGTACCATCACCAGTGCAGGTGTGAGCTGATGTACAGGAGAAGTAGGTGCGCCCATAGCCTCTGATGTGTTAAAAAAAATAGTGTTAATGGTAATAATAACAGAATATTTTGCTGTATGGTTTTTTATTTAAATTTTTTCTCTTGATAAACACTATTGGAATTTTAAAAATTGCATAATCATAAGTTCACGAAAACAATGTGTTTAGAAATGTAGTACATTTTAAAATTCTATTAAATTGTTTAACGGTCCAAGGTATATTACCCAGTGGCTAGCACAGTGTTCTTGGCATGGAACCTGTGAATAGATCCATCTTCTAGGCAAAGTGCTGTCACACCACGACATTCACCGCCCTCCATGATGAGGTCCAGAGCAAAGTACTCAATAAAGTAATTGGTGTCATATTTCAGCGACTGAAACATACAAATTTAATTGGTGTCATATTTCAGCGACTGAAAAATACAAATTTAATTGGTGTCATATTTTAGAGACTGAAACATACAAATTTAATTGGTGTCATATATCTGTAACCTAGTAATTTAATTGTTATAGTACTTCTGGGACTGTAATTTACAATTTTATTGGTGTTATATTCCTGGGACTGTAGTATACATGTTTAATTAGTGTCACATTTGTAGGACTAATATTTAATTTTATTTTAGGGACTGTAATATACAATGTATTGATGTCATATTTCGGGGGAAGGAACATAAGTTTTTTCAGAGCAAGCGAAAAACATACCTTACCATACATTTTAACAATACATATTCCGCCCCCCCCCCCCCCACCCAGAATGATAAAACTAAAACCTATGCACCAAAACTATTTTAATAGATCTTCAAATAAAAGATCACATTGGTAGTGTATTGAAGTTTTTCTACACAGTACAAATTATTTGAATTTTAATTTTAATAGAAAAGCACAATATGCACATCCATTCTATAAAAAAAATGTTTGAAGTGAAAACGTAATTAGAATACAATGAAAAAACTCCATCCAAAAACTGCTCACCCGTCCATAAAGCGTGTGCAACAGGCTGTGACCAGTCCTGTCAGCCACAGCACAACACCTGTGGGCCTGGCCACCTTTACCAAACTTCAAACTCTGGCCACCAAAAGCACGCTGGTAAATTTTACCATTTTCAAGTCTGCTGAATGGCATACCATAGTTTTCTAGCTATTGAATAAAAAAAAAAAATCACCTTTTAATTAAATTCTTAAACATATTGTTATGGTAATACTTTAAACCGTCTATTTGCAAAATGCTTAGAAAATCCAATTTAAAAAAAATGAAGATTACTCTCATTAATTTAAAACTAATGCGCTTTTAGAATCAGTGAAAAATTAAGAATAAACAAGTTTCAACTTATATTTATGGAAATCAGCAAGGTGTACTATGCTAATGAATAAATAAATCACTAATATCAAGGATATTTCCTGCTAAACAAGAGCACCAACCTCAATGACAGTTTTAGGTGCCTCCTCACACATGTAATGGATGGCATCTTGATCCCCTAGCCAGTCAGAGCCTTTGACTGTATCATAGAAATGATACTGCCAGTTGTCCTCCTCCATATGTCCCAGCGCAGCATTTATACCACCCTAAGGAATATTTTTTTTTGGATAAATATATGTTATTGTCCCACCTACTTCAATTTTTAAAACGCATGTTCTATTCTGTTTTAAGTAAAAGGCCGAGCAGTAGAGACGTAGCTAGGGGAGGGCAGGTGGGGCAACCATCCAAGACGCCAACGTTAGGTATTAGAAAAAATTTAAAAAGCTCAATCAGATTTGCCTTATTATTTGTGACAAGCTATTCTGCGACATGACACAGCTGTTATAGCTGCTCTATTGCCTACCGTGTCTCCATTACATTATTATCATGCAAAAAGCACTTCTACATTATTTTCACATACTCAAAAAATTAGCCACAAGTAATATTTAATGCTAGAAAAAATTACATTATCATTTTTAAAACTAAGGAAATGATAAACATATTTTAAAAATAATTTTATTAAGTTTTTTTAAGGTCGTCCCTCTTAGTTTAGAATCTGGGGATGGTTTCTGGGCTTTAAAAGCAAATGCTTTAAATACAGAACAAAATGTATCAGTATTACTGCTATTCTAATTATTACTTTTAATATAACAAAGGCATGGATAATATACATTTTTTTTATAGGGCCATATGTGAAATAGGCTTCAACGAGCTAAATCATGTTACCTGAGCTGCAACGGTGTGTGAGCGGGTGGGAAACAGCTTTGTTATGCATGCTGTTTTAAAGCCATCATTTGCCAGACCAAACGCAGCTCTCAGACCTGCACCTCCTGCACCAACTACTACAGCATCATACTGATGGTCAACAACAGGGTAGTCTCTAGAAATCTGAAAAAGAGATTTTAGCTTGGGTCTTTATTTCTATACATCTACGACTGTTATCAAGCTAAATTTTTAATCTAAAAAATAAAGTATTACATTTGAAGTTGAAGCTTTAGCATCAGTGTTTCTACCATGGACTCGAAAATGAAAATCCCTGCATGACGACACAGATTGTCCGATTTTACCAAACTGTAAAACAAATTTGTTAATTCTTAAAATTGAGATAAAATTAGGAATTTTACACATGAAGAAAAATGTTTATCTGAACATGTAGGCCTATCCGGAGTTTAAATCCAGTCTTTATATTAAAAAGGCCTCCTTAATGCTTAGACCTATTATAGCTACTCTTAACTCTTATGAATCCTAGATTCTAGATCTTAATCTAAATTTTCTAGATCTAGAATCTATGATCTAGATAATCTAGATTCTAGTTCTAACTAATGTCCTATACCTTGACTTACAATAAAAATATTACATAACTCTAGTAATGTTACATAATAAAGTATAGTCTAGTGATAATATATCAGAAGGTTTTAATTTAAAAGACCAACTCTAGTATCAAAATGGTTGTTTATATAAATAATAGACTTTATACAATCAATACTGTAGATAATGCACGTAAAATAAGAGTAACCAAAAAATAAATCTGCACTGTGGCGACCAGTCGATGAACTTGGCCAAATTCGAGACCAAAACAACAAAACTTCCAATTCCTTCAGATAACGAAAAATATAAGAATTACTATTTGTATTTAACAAAAACCAAATAAGAAGCATAGTATGTATTCATTCCTAAAATAAACAATTAACTTACAATGCTGCTAGCAGCCGCTTTGCGAGCGACTTTACTGGATAAACTTGCCATTGACGCCATGAACTTTCATTATCAAACAAGGATACAAAAAAAGTACGCATGCGCATGAGAACGAATATGAAAACTTAAGCCTCGGTCTATTTACCTATTGCCGTTTTCTTTAACTAAATCTTTAAGCCGTTAATATATTTTAAACCAATTGCCGATATTACTCTAAAGCAACTTTTTATTTCCAGAAAATAATTTTAATTGTAGATCAACATTTTTTTAGAGGTTTTAAATCACAACATTTTCTATCAGAAACAGTCGACCTTGATACAGTTTACCGTGACCTTGTATGAAGGTCGGAACTACCAGTGGTAGCAAAAACTAAAACTAAAAGTGCAATCTATTTGCGGCATTATTTCAAACTAGGCCAAAATCCTCACAACTAAAGCGTTGATTTGGGTAGTGGTAGGCTTTTTTATGATTCGGTAAATGAACACACAAAAACAAGAAATAGCTAGATCTAGTTCATACTACTAATATTATTAACAATTACCAGATTTAAAACCCCACCTTAGTAGTAGGCCTATGATAGCGGGCACGAAAAGTAAACATTCACGTTATGAGCTATGTCGAGTAGAATCTAGATCTATATGGAAGACTAGATTTCTATGTCTGGAAGTGATGATTTAATTAAAAACAAAGTTGATCATCAAGAAACATAGATCTAGTAATTATTAGTGACGAAACAAGAAAAATAACTATCTCAATAACTAGAAAAAAATAATAAATAGCCCTATATATAATCAAGGTAAACCTAAGTTTAAAAAAAAAAATACATAAAATAGTATACGTTTTAATAACAAGCTTTAATGCGATAATGTAATGAAAAGAAGAAAATAACTGTTTTTAAAAATACATAAGTATGTACTACTATTTCATTACCGAATGAAAAGTGTGGATCACTATAATTAGGCCTATAATATCGAATACCTTTACGAAAATGACTGAAACCAGATTCTTCCAGACTTTTTTCTCCGAGGGGGCACTTGATATTTTCTGGGAGGCGGTGAACATTTTCCGTTCGGGGGGGGGGGGGGCGACATATGCACCCCCTGGTAGATGTTTCTTGGCCGGCCTTTTTTTTAAAAAAAATTCCCAATGGATGCCTTATGTGAGTAGCTAATCCACCTTTATTTTCTCTAATGCATTCCTTCGTCAGCTGGCTGTTGGTTTTTTCATTAAATCGTCGGTTTTTTTTTCTTCCCCACCCCCGTGTAGCCTAAACCATATACAGGAAAGTACACACCATATTGACAAAACGTGCACACATTTTAAGCAAATCAAAAATCCGCACCAAGTAGCATTAACTATAGACTAACATTTTTTTAGTGGGCTAGAAATATCTACCTAGTAGTAGGAAATATTAAAAAGATTTTATTGTAAAAGATCATAGCTTGTGTTTGAATTAGATCAGAACACAACTTGTAGTGTAAGTAATTAAAAACAATTATTGCATTGATTAATAAGTGTATGGATGTGTGCGCACATTATTTATGCCGTTGGTTAGCACAACAAACAAGATATATAAGAGCATGGAATTCTATCTGCTTAATGATCAGAAGCCCTCGATCAATATATTGTTGACATTGGTGAAATACGTGATTTTGTCAGTTTTACTTGTATACTTGTATACTAATAGGCAGTGGCGTAGCGAGGTCGGGTGTCACCCGGTGCGGCACTTAATGGTGTCACCCCCCCAGAGGCATAGAGACCCTTCCCAGGGACAAACTTTCAAATTTTCGATTTGCACCCCCCCCCTCAAACTTTCGATTTGCACCCACCCCCCTCAAGTTTTCGATTTGCACCCCCCCCCCCCCCCCTCAAACTTTCGATTTGCACCCCCCCTCGAGTTTTTCTATATATATTGTGCTATTTTTTGCCTTGGTGTCACCCCCCTAAATGGTGTCACCCGGTGCGGTCCGCACCCCCCGCACCCCCCTCGCTACGCCCCTGCTAATAGGTCTATTGGTCCTAAAAAAATTTAAGTTAAACAAAAAATTAAAAATTTTAATATTTTAAAAATCAAATTATTAGGCCTTTGTCTTTATCAAATTTGCAAATGCAAAGAACTTGAGTATATTTTCTGTATATTTTTTGCCAGGTTTTCTTAAACATATTGTGGAAAATATACACTTTAAATCAATATGCTCCCCCCGGAAACTTATAGTGCTCCCCTCGAAAGTTTCCAGTGCACCCACGGAGAAAAATGTCCGAAAGAAACTCTGCTTTTGACCCATCTTTAACCCTGACCCAAACATAAAACATAACACCAGCAAAAAAAAAAAAAAAAAAAAAATTCCAACTCCAAATTCTCACGAATGTAAAATTTTTTGTTTTCACAGTAAGTTTTGAAACTTTTGTCCTATAGTCAGTCTATAGGAAATGGTACTCAAATGCTCGACCAACATTTTAAGGAATAAATTACAGGTATGTTGTAACTAGTCCTTTACCGATTCTAGAAAATGCTCTGTGAAAAGGACAGATGAAGTAGAGTTAATCTATATATGTGGCTTCAGTGTAATGCTTGGACAAAGGCTATGGAAGCAAATCCAAAAAGAAAAGCAGGCTGAAATCGGAGTCAATGGCCTCAATGGCGCATAACCAGTTGACACTTAACGCTTAATTGTGTTGGAGGCGTGGTCGAGTCGGCAAAAAGCTCATGGTTGATAAATTCGAACAAAGTCTCGAGTTCAAACCGACTGGCAGATAAATCTCGATTCGTACTTAACTACAAATAGCCCTATGAAGGCTATTCGTACTCTGACCAATCAGCGTGCGGCATTTTTTTTTATTCTTGAATTCCCTTTTTCATCTTTTACAAGCTGTATCGATCTAGAACTAATTATTTTTAGATCTCCCTAACCCTAACCCTATGCCTAACCCTAACCCTAACCCTAGCCCTAGCCCTAACCCTAACCCTAACCCTAACCCTAACCCTAACCCTAACCCTAACCCTAACCCTAACCCTAACCCTAACCCTAACCCTAACCCTAACCCTAACCCTAACCCTAACCCTAACCCTAACCCTAACCCTAACCCTAACCCTAACCCTAACCCTAACCCTAACCCTAACCCTATGCCTAACCCTAACCCTAACCCTAACCCTAACCCTAACCCTAACCCTAACCCTAATGCTAAACCCTAAACCTTAAGAAAAATTTAAAAAAAAAAGCAAAAAAAAAAACATAAAAAAAACCTCTGGGACAGCGGGAATCGAACCCATGCCTGAAAAACTAATAAGCCAATGCGCAACCACTTCGACCACCGGAACAGTTACGAATCTTACAAAATTTAAATCTTATACATAGACTGCAGGACAATGAATTTAAAAATAAATTTGATTGGTCGGCTAAAAATAGCGAAGTACGAATAGCCCTCTGACGGCTATTTGTAGTGAAGTACCAATAGTGAATAGACACTCTCATTAAGAACGAAGAAGAAGTGTAATGCTGTTGTCTAGCTCAAGTAATTGATAGAGTTGGGTCACGTATATGCACTGTAGCCCAGAGGCGTAGCGAGGGGAGGGGACATATGTCCCCGGGCGCCGATCTTGTGGGAGGGGGGGGGGGGCGCCAAAATGGGTTGGAAAAACGCATTGAAAGTTTTAAATAAAAGTTCGAGGGGGGGGGGGTGCAGATCGAAAGTTTGTCCCCGGGCACCTGGAAGGGTCGCTACGCCTCTGCTGTAGCCCAGTTAAACTTCATTAAACAAAATTTTTTAAATAAATCACTATCGTAATGCTGGCAATTTGGTCATGTTTTACTATTAATTTTTTGGGAAGCGTCTTGAAGAATAAACACGAAATTCAATAATTGTTTTACAGAATCGTTCAGATAATCAAGGAAATAATCTAATATTTATTTAATGATAAAATCGGTAAAAGTAGTAACTTGCAATGTAAATTAATTACTTGCCTTTTAATAAAACTTATTATGAAATGATATTTATTTATAAAACAGGTATTGGTTTTATGATTTAAAATGATATCTATGTATAAAAGATGTAGTGGTTTTATGTTTTAAAATGATATCTATTTATAAAACATGTAGTGGTTTTATGTTTTAAAATGATATCTATTTATAAAACAGGCAGTGGTTTTATGTTTTAAAATGATATCTATTTATAAACCATGTAGTGGTTTTATGTTTTAAAATATTTATTTATAAAACAGGTATTTGTTTTATGTTTTAAAATGATATCTATAAAACATGTGGTGGTTTTATGTTTTAAAATGATATCTATTTATAAAACATGTAGTGGTTTTATGTTTTAAAATATTTATTTATAAAACAGGTATTTGTTTTATGTTTTAAAATGATATCTATAAAACATGTGGTGGTTTTATGTTTTAAAATGATATCTATTTATAAAACATGTAGTGGTTTTATGTTTTAAAATATCTATTTATAAAACATGTAGTGGTTTTATGTTTTAAAATATCTATTTATAAAACAGGTAGTGGTTTTATGTTTTAAAATATCTATTTATAAAACAGGTAGTGGTTTTATGTGTTGTATTTGTGGGGAGCATAAACACACAAACCAGCACCCATAACGTCTGCACATTGGAGAAAACCACAAAGGGCTTTGACGAGCTACAAGCTATGTATAGGAGGAAGTCGGGCGGGGTGAACTACACCAACATCGTAAAACCTGACGCAAACAACATCCTTGTCCAGAGTCCTCTGTGTGGTCAAGCACCGGTTGACCAGTCCGAGGCTATCGTGATGGGCAAGGTATCCCCAGAGAAATCCTGGCCATGGCAGGTTTATATTGAAACCTATCTTAAATCAGGTTTCCAGTCAACCTGCGGGGGCTCCATCCTTACGGAATGGTGGGTCCTGACCGCTGCTCATTGTTTGGTAGAATCCGGTAGTACAATGACTGTTTTCTTTGGAGTGTACGACTTAACACGACTAAACTCTTCGACACACATCAAGGCGGAGAAATATATACAAAAATCTAAATTACTAGGACCGGGAGAGTTAGAGAATGATATTCTACTTGTCAAACTTGAATCTGCTATAACTTTCACGGAAGATGTAAGGCCGATCTGCTTGCCTAGCGAAGAGATGCTTGACTCCAGAAGTTGTTTCGCTACTGGTTTCGGAGTGACCGGTGAATTTGGATCCTTCTCTAACGATTTGCTGCAGATAAAGACGAACCCCATGAATCAAAAACTGTGCATGTTTTTTCTCCGGAACACGAGACTGAAAGGTGGGGTTGATCCCTACATCTGTCTAGATACGGAGGAAGGCGAAAACATTTGCGGCGGAGATTCAGGCGGGCCGCTTAGCTGTAAGGTGAACGGAAAATATTACATCGTTGGTGTAGTTATTGCCGGTTTTGATTGCGATTCCTCAATGTTTCCTTCTTACACGATTTCTGTTTATGCCTATCTTGATTGGATTAAAACGTCAATTAAATCGAATTAATTAATTGTAAAATGAGACCAGTAGCACTTTGATTAGCTTAGCAATCTACACCTGTCTTTGTTAACTGTTTGCTTTGAATATTTGAACAAAGGTGATTTGTAAAATGGACTACAATTACTTACTGAGCATTAAACTGTTTCCGTTTGAATTCGCTCAAATTGTATTTTAAACTGTGTTTAGTTTTAATTGATTTTCTTTATTACAGCATTACAATTTCTAATTTTTGTTAACAAAATTTGTTCACCAGTTGAACGACAACAGTGTTTGAATTTCACTAGCTTACCATTTGAATGAGAGCAAAGCCTTTTTAAAATTTGCAGCAATTTTTGTTATTGTTATCCCCACCCCTTGTTGGAGAAGGGGTAAATGTGAGACCGTAAAATGTTAACAATATGTTAACCGTTACCAATTCAACTAGATGAAGCAACGTTTCTTTGCTATGAATATATGAGTTTTAAATCTTGGTATTAAAAAAAACAAAACAGATTGATAAGGCGTGTAATTAAGTCTCGTTGTATAAGACTGAAATGATAGTCAAAACAATGTTACTAATAACGTTAACCTTACAATTAGCAAATCTAGAGTCTGAGTTTTTTTTACATTTTCCCTGTTACTTTTGGTATTTAAAAGACTGAAACTAAAGTTTAAATTTTAGAATGTGAAAACAAAGTAGAACATCCTTGACAGAATATTATTTTACGTAATATAAACAACAGACAAAACTGTTTTCATGTCTGTCGTATCTACAATGTTAAGAGAATAGAAAACTACCGATAATGCGCGCAAAAGTAATGCTATTTAAACAATCTTACTCTAACACTGGAAATTTGCGACTTTATCAACATTATAAAATAAAATCTTGACACAACTTTAAACCGAACCGTTCATCCTTGTTTGACTTTGGATACTTAACCAAGTCAAGTGGATGACTTTCGTTGAGCACAACAGCTGTTGTTACGCTTGTGACTAATAAAAACTTGATAAGGGAACAATCAACTTCAATCATCAAGTTTTCATAACATTTTTTATTTAGACAACAGGGATCTATAATCTTGGGCAAAACTATCGAAGGCTGTTTTGGTAAAATGCTTAACTGGGGTCTATACAACGAAGCTAATTGATATAATTCGTATTGTTGTATTTGTTGAAGAGGAGTAAAGTGTTCAATCATTGTTATAGGTAAACGATTCATTTTCGAGTACTATTAAAGAAATGACAGCAAAGAAACACAGATAACGTTAGGTTTAGCAGTGCATACAGGCTCGGTTTTTACAGTTGGTAAAGCAGACGTTAAGTTTTCTGGTCCCTTACACGCATGGCCCCCTTACACTCCAAATCCCTTTCACTCCCGTCCCTTACACACCCCGGCTCCTTAAAACCCCGTTGCTTACACCCCTGGTCTTTTACACCCCTGGTCCCTTACACCTCTGTCCATTACACCCCCTCCCCTCCACCCCCTGTCTCCTCCACCCCGTCCCTTACACCCCCGTCCCTTACACCCCCGTCCCTTACACCCCCGATCCCTTACACCCCCGTCCCTTACACCCCCGTCCCTTATACCCCTGTCCCCTCCACCCCCATCCCTTACACCGCCGTCCCTTACACCCCGTCCCTTACACCCCCGTCCCTTACACCCCCGTCTTATTATTTATCCCTTAGCTCTCTTCTCATTCACAATTTATGATATGAGCTTTTTAACGTTGAGTTTGGTGTTAACAAAACTAATTTCAATTTCAAAAGTATGCATTTCAGTGTATTAAAAAAAATCACATTTCAGTATGTAAACATTAACATTTCATTATGCAAAAGTTCACAATCCAGTGAGCAAAAAACTCACATTACATCGCTAGAAAACAGAATGTCTTTCTATTGAACAACACCACACCTTGTGTCACGCGGCTTAGTCGACTTCTGCTGGATTATGTGAGATGGACCTTGACATTTCGTTCCAGAAAGTTAGCCGTGCCTCAGGGGTCATCTCATCGTCTGCCGGGAACTCCGTGAAACGGTTTTTCCTCAACACAGACAGCAGATCACGTGACATGTCGTCTGCAGACACTGGCTTGTAAATACAGAGGTGAAGGACGGATCGTCTGCTGAAGATCTCCTCCATGACCGCCATTTTTAAGCCGTATTCCGTGTACTCACCGTCGTAGAACTCGGGCGTGACCACCGGCACGGTCTTGGCGCTGTTCTGGACGGCACTGACAATGGCCGACACGGTGTAGGTACCCGGCATGAAGTCCCGCTCTTCGATACACAGCCTGTGACCCCTGTTGACCTCCAGCTCCTGGACACAGTCCTGCAGCACAAAGCTCCGCGTCTCGTCTGTGTACAGTATGTAGGCGTCGTACTTGTAGCGCAGGTTGTTGGGTAGCGTCGACTCAAACCCCAACAGTTTTCCTATCGCTACGGTCCTTAGATATCTCAGCCTCCATCTGAACCTGTACATGGTAAGCAACAATACAACAAGTGCTATACACACAGCACTGAACAAACAAATGATGAACATCAGCTCCTTAGACGCGCAATATCTCTGTAAGGTCTCTAATTTTTTTCTGACGTCTCCCATGCTAACATAATTATTGTCCTCATCACTGCACATAAGGAAATCTTTACTTAACAAATAAACATTCGTGTGTGCCAGCCAAAATATGATGGGCAAACCTTTACACGTACAGGGCAGTGGGTTGGAGGTTAGGTCCAGGTACAGTGTGTGGTTAGCTGCAATGGTGTCAAGGTCATCACGTGTACTTCTCGTGATCCAGGAAATGGAGTTTCTGCTCAGGTCAACTATCCTGAGTTTTGGCGAGCTCGCTAAACTGATATTTATAACCTGCAACTTGTTTTGTGAGACATCAATAATATTCAGACTTGACAAGCCATTAAGGAATTTGAAGGGAAGTTTATAAATAACATTTTTCGGCAGTTCCAGGTATTCTAGTTTGTTTAGGGTAGAGAATATAGCACCAGAAGAATCAGCTGCGAAAACGTCAGCCAGATAGTTGTCGCCAAGGAGTAATATTTTTAGTGATTTATTGTTTTCGAAAAAACTCTGCGTCAAATTTGAACAATAGTTCCTGGCAAAGTTCGCGCTCAATATACCCGGGGGTAGTTTCCCACTACCCCAGCGCGTCATGTAGCTTCCAGAAAAATCTAATGTTTGGAGAGCGTATCGTTCTTTGATCTTGCAATATAATATATACAACCCGAATCGAATGTAGCGTACGGCACGAATTGATTTAAGATGTCTTGGGAGTATATTTTTCTCGATGTGAAAATTATGTGAGTGGTTCTGTTGTTTATAGAACGTCTCCTCTCCAATAGGGCAATATACTGAGCTCAATTCCGATACTTCACTCGCTTCATGACTGTCAATATTTTTGGATGTCTTATACGAGTAAGTGTTATCAATATCTGAAAAGTCAGAGTACCCTTGGAAACTTAGATCAAGAGCGGTCAGATTAGACAATGATTTAATCTGTTTCAGGATCATAACCCTGGGGTTTAATTTGTTGTTCGTTAAAATTAGTTTTTGAAGCGTGATTGGAAGCAGATTCGCAAAGCCGTCTCTCATCATAATTATATTGTTATTGGAAAGATCTAAAGTTGTTATCTTCATGTGCTGTAGGTATTTAGCGTGGTAAGGTTCAAGGATACGACACATCACAAGCGTGTGGTTTAGGCCGGAAAGTTTCAGAAATGCAATCGAACTTTTATGTATGTGTTCAAGGTCTTCAAATGCATCAAATAAGTCATACCCCGGCATGTTGGTTAGTGATAAAGTTTTTATGTTTCTAAGGTTTTGAAAAGTTTTTAGACTCATGCGCTGGGTAGAACAGCCGTTTACTTCAACATGCCTTAGGAAAGGTGTGTTTGTGAAAAAGTGATCAGACAAATTGTTTATATTGCAAGTTCCTGGGGAAAGACCTATTTTTATGCAGGCTAAATTGCTCAGAGAAATGAATTCTCTACCGAAAGGATGATCCAACCCGTCTACAGTCAACGTTTGTAACTGTTTGAGCGGTTGTAGAGCCAGGGCAGGGTAGTGATCAGATTTGTCTGAATTACCTTCAAGGTTAAGGTCAGTCAGAAATAAAAGTTTGGACAGCAAGGATTCTGGGAAATGTTTTGGGGAGTATCCTAAGTTTGTATTGTGCCGTAAGTCCAACAGAGTCAGACACTTCAGTTCATCAAAGGTTGTGTTCTCCAGAGTTTCTAGCAGGTTGAAGGAAAGGTTCAGGGCTTGTAGTAGACCAAGTCCAGTAAACGTGTTCCTAGTAATGGCGGAGATATTGTTCACGCTAAGGGATAGAGAAGTTAAATTGGGAAAAATGTGAAAACTGTTGTCATATATTATTGAAATTTTGTTCGTGCTCAAGTCTAGCTCTTCTAAAACGGATGTCTTATCAGACACAGGATATAACCTTATTGCCACGAGTTTTTGGTTGTTTTGTATATGCAGATAAGAAAGATTCCCATACCGTAAAACTTCCGTCGGGCGGAAGACGGCAAAGTCAGACTTTACGATGGTCAAATGCTGGATGTAATTTGGTAGATCTACAGGAATTTGAACAATTTTTCCTGTACATTTGGCTAAAGAAACTTTGCTTTTGTTCGTGCATTCACAATTCCCGCAGATAAACAAATCCTTTAAAATTATTTTCTCATAAGTTAATTGTTTTAGATCTGTTGTTTCGTCGTCATGGTTAGACATTTCGTCGTCATGGTTAGACATGTCGTCGTCATGGTTAGACATGTCATCGTCATGGTTAGACATTTCGTCGTCATGGTTGGATATTTCGTCGTTATGGTTAGACATTTCGTCGTTATGGTTGGATATTTCGTCGTTAACTGTTTGATATTTCATTATGTCGTCGTTAACGGTTCGATGTTTCATCATGTTGTCGTTATAACTGGCGACAGCTATGATGAAGACAGTGAGGGGTGTAAGTCTGTGTACTGGATGCCGTCTCCAGTTGTACACAACACCACTTGTCAACATCAACACCAAAATGGTCAGCGCCATCAGCTGTAAGCAGATGTAAGATGGTTCTGTTACAACAATACACAGTAATTAGTTCAATACAAGAGTTTAAAATAACTTACATTAATGTATAATACTTTTATAGCTATGAATACATACTATCAAGTTTACTCTTTTGTGTGACGTTTAGTTAAAAACAAATGACTTTAACACCTTCTGAATATGTGTCCTATTGAACTTCACCGATAATGTCCTCAGTTTAGCTAGATAGATTGTTGGGCAGTCTATAGAAATTGTAAGCGCAGTTTTGCTTAAATTAACTGAATGATTATAATTAATTAATCATTTCACCTTAATGAGTTTTAACCGTATTTTACACGTAATAAGTAAAAAGGGTAACGACTGTTACAATGAAATTACTACTTAAATTCGCTGCCGATTTAAAAAAAAATATGTAGTCTTTTTTGTCAATTTCAAATGGTTTATTTCCTCCTTCTATGTGAGTAAACATTTAATTCCAATAGCCCCCCCCCCCCTCACCCACCACGCCGAGGGAAAAAAATACCTTGAATCATCATTTAATTACACATTTGCATTATCAGGTTGGTTTTTTTTTTAAATTATTTTTTTTATATTTAGACGTTTTGTATTAGATCTTTGTGTAAGTAAACCATCTTAAATGAATGAAAGTAGGTTACAAGTAAGAAAGAAATATTACTATTGTAAATCTGTATCAGTCCTCACAAGCCGATGAGAAAACTGTAATACTAGAGCGAACACACACAACTGAAGCTGTAAATTACATGTCTGAGGCAAAAAAAAAAAAAAAAAAAAAGAAAAAAAAATTAATTCCAATAGGTCTACAAATGTACATACCTTCATACATAACTTTATAATTTCAATACGTCTAAAACAATAGATACCTTCTGAATAAATGTTTGGTTGGTATATAACTTTATAATTCCTATACGTCTAAAACTGTAGATACCTTCTGAATAAATCTTTGGTTGGTATATAACTTTTTAATTCCAATAGGTCTACAACTGTAGAATCAGATACCTTCTGAATAAATCTCTGGTTGTTATTTAACTTTATCACAAAGTGCTACATCTAACTTAAACAGACCGAAAGTAAAATGTGCGCAGTGTAATTTCTAACCTTGTTTTAAAGAGCTTAGCAAAAAGTGACTCATTATAAATACATCTATTAGAACTCGACATGATTACTAATATTCTAATAAAAAGTCAAGTTATTTAATTACAAATCAAGTACTAATTCCTCTAATTAAATTAGCAAGGCAGACTATAGGCGCCCTATGTTTTATAGCATGGGAGATGACTCTCAAAGTTACAGAAAGGAAAGTAATTTAATACTGGGGTTAACTTCTGTCGCAAAAGAAAGATTTAGTTAAACGGGGGGGGGGGGGGGGGGGGGGGGGGGGGGGGGGGGGGGGGGGAGGTCAGGACCTTCACATCCCCATTACGATTATCATCTTGATCTATAATTGCTCGAGGGGGTTGATTCATTACTAGAACAGCTACATCTTTTGAAGTTAAAATTAAGAAATTAAGAAATAATGATGCCGTTTCAGCTATGGAGAATCAAAACCGATAATAAAATATTATAATGGAATTTTTTTTTCGTGTATGCCTTTACTTTGTAGGGTGTAACATTCGACAGGAAAAATTTGGAAGGGGTTGGGGGGGGGTATCCGTACCCATTTGCTAGTGACAAGTATACTTTATATGTTACTTTGCGGGGTCTAGCTTTAGACGCCCGTTTAACAGTGTCAGATTTGGCTTGACCAATGGTAGTCTACAAGCGGACCAGTTGGCCTAGGGTGTGTGTGTGTGTGGGGGGGGGGTAATTTAATAGTTCACAACATTGGGGTCATTGACCCGAGGAAATAGCCCGTGTGTGTATAAATACGGGCCAATACACGCTGCCTGAACCTTTCAACCTACCCGAATGTACCTGTTCTCCATAAACCAAAACATGAAGATCACATTCATAGGTGAGTTGGTCAGTGTAGGTTTATATCCTAATATTGTTTGACTGGGATTAGCGACCTAATCGTTATATACAGTCATTATATTTCTACACATGCAGATGTTTGTTGTTATGTCTAATTTATATTTAACCCTGTCCTTTATCGTTTCCTTCTTGCATAGATACCAACTTAAGTTGACCTCTATCGCATTGTTCGCATTTTACCCACCACGTCTTATAAATTACGTCAGTTCTCTCATTCATAAAATTATCCCACAGCGGTTCTCTCATCATTCGCATTATACCCACTCAATCTTAACATATCTTACAGCAGTCCTAACATTGTTCGCACATTTTAACCAGTTCTCTATTCATTCGCATTATACCCAACCCTTCTAATAATATCACACAGCAGTCCTGGCATTGTTCGCCTTATACCCACCCCGTCTTATATTATACACCCGTTCTCTCATTGTTCGCATTATAGCCACTGCGTCTTATCATATCATACATCAATCTGGGCATTGTTCGCATTATACCCATCACGTCTTATCATATCATACAGCAATCGTGGCATTGTTCGCATTATACCCAACCCGTCTTATCATATCCAACAGGAGTACTCGCAATTTTCGCATTGTACCCACCCCGTCTTATAACCTACAGTAGTCCTGACATTGCTCGCATTTTATCCACCCCGTCATATAACCTACACCAGTTCTCTCATTGTTCGCATTATACCCACCCCGTCTTATCATACATATCCTACACCAGTTCTCTCATTGTTCGCATTTTACCTACCCCGTCTTATAACCTACAGCTCTCCTCGCATTGTTCGCATTATACCCACCCCGTCTTATCTTTCATAACCTACACCAGTTCTCTCATTGTTCGCATTTTACCCACCCCGTCTTATAACCTACAGCTGTCCTCGCATTGGTCGCCTTGTGCCGTGCAGCCCCCTCCTGTGAGTTTTCTAGCATCAAGGTCACGATGACCCGATGTTTGACCGACCATGGCTTCACGTTGGACGAGATCGAACACCTGATTCCAAACGACGCCGGAGCTATCGATTTCAACGAAAATGTAAGTAATAGGTGACCAGAGTTTCTACCGCCCCCCCCCCCCCCCGAACGAAGTGAAATTTATATAATTTATATAGAAAATATATACTTTTAACAGTGTCTACCGCCCCCCGAAAATTTCAAGTGGCCCCCCCCCCCCCGGAGAAAAAAGTCTGGAAGAAACACTGTAGGTGACATTGACCGTGTATTTACACGAACAGTAACAAAGTGTAACACCAACGGTTTGATTTATCGTTTTTGTGCACGTAATGAAAGCAAAGGAAATTTTTGTGTAATATTATTTTTGTATAGCGTTCACCTTCGTCTTCTGAACAGAAATAATAAACACTTTTCAGTGTTACTAAAAAAAACTGCTTCTTCTTAGCTTACAGATCAAGGGAGGTAAAAATGAAAAATAAAAGAGGTTAAAAATACACGAGAGTTAAATCCCCTTTTTGCGTAGTTGAATTGTGTTCAAGGAAACCGCTTTTGTTACACATCTTGTTTCTTTCATGCGTCTCCCCAAACGAAATTAAAAAAGAAAAAGATAATGTATACAGAAAATATACGCTACCCATTAGTCTCAACTGTCCTCCACCCGAAGAAAAATATTTGAAAAAAAACTTTGGTTGAGATTTAGAGTATAACCTGCCAGTTTTGGTATGCCATCACTAACTCAACCATTCTGTCGTGACGTCACTGATCCAACCCAATTTTCAGGCGTCCGGAAAAAAGGGGGGGCGGGTGTCCATAAATGACGTCACTTACTTAGATCCATACGGAAACGTAGATCGTAGATGCGGCAAATCAACGAGTATCCTCCCTCCCCTTCCCCCCCCCCCCCCCCACACACAATAGTTTTTCAACCAATCACTTATTGCAGGACCACAAGGCGATGTGCTCCAAACGATCTGAATACAAGCAAAGTTTGACGTGTTTCATGGATGAAGTTGCACGCTGCCATACTTCAGGTAGGTTTGTAGTGTCATACTTCAGGTAGGTTTGTGGTGTCATACTTCAGGTAGGTTTGTGGTGTCATACTTCAGGTAGGTTTGTGGTGTCATACTTCAGGTAGGATCGTGGTGTCATACTTCAGGTAAGTTTGCTGTGTCATACTTCAGGTAGGTTTGTGGTGTCATACTTCAAGTAGGTTTGTGGTGTCATTCTTCAGGTAGGTTTGTGGTGTCATACTTCAGGTAGGTTTGTGGTGTCATACTTCAGGTAGGTTTGTGGTGTCATACTTCAGGTAGGTTTGTGGTGTCATACTTCAGGTAGGTTTGTGGTGTCATACTTCAGGTAGGTTTGTGGTGTCATACTTCAGGTAGGTTTGTGGTGTCATACTTTTACCGTTGTACTGTTAAAAGTCTCTATACAAGCTAGCACTGAAAAAATGGAAATTTAATCAACTCGTTGAATAATTAAGGAAATTACCTCCCGGTTTTTGTTTTTTAAAATCTGAGGTTTTAACTATTTGCTAGAGTAACTTGTGTTTCACCTATGACCTATTGGGATGTACTTGATGCTATTGATAGTTTAGGTAGTTATGTAATAATCAAAAGGTAATCAAACGGATTTGATAAACTACACGTTTTTTGTCCAAGTAAAAAATAATAGTGGAAGAAGTGTTCCACTTAGCAAATTATGTTGATTCAATCCATTACATTTAGAAAAACAATGTAATGATTTAGATAATCTGTCATATTTCACAAAACGTTAGTTACTTTACAACAAAGTCCCAGGATGCACGTATTTACACAATTCTGTATTCCCTCCCCCTCCCCTGTACCCCTCCCCTGTACCCCTTCCCCTGTACCCCCTCCCTTATATCCCCTCCCCTGAGAAGTGTAGCGTCATTTGTTTTTCACGCCCTGTCACATATATGGGATGGCGTGGCTGGGTGATAGAGCGCTCGACTGCTAGTCCAGTGGTGTCGAGCTCGGATCTCTGCTTGAACTGCAGGATGTCCCTTAGTCAACCCAGCTCAGATGGGTACCTGACTCACGTTATAAAATGTAAAAACATCTGAACATTGTGCTGACCACACTATACCTTCATATTTCTTGTTTACTGAAAAAGTGAACTCTACTTCATCTGCCTCATCGACCCATGAACCGTAAGGTTGAAAGAGTTCTTACAAAAGCCTATTCTTTAAAATGACGTCTAAAATATACCATCACTCCCCAACCCCTTATCACCTTAATTTCATATTATCTAACAGGTTGCTCAACAATATCTACTTATATTTTTTCGGTTCTCGTTTACAAGAAGTCACTAAAAAAGAAATAAAGAGAAAACAACTTTAACTCTCATTTCAGTGGGTGTTTCAATTAAGCTAAACCTCGACCAGTCAACTAAAGCCATGGACCAGATGTGCGATGACCCTCACTACAAGATCGACTGTGTCGTCCTTCTAACCAAAAACTCGACAGAGGTGCAAAAATGTGTGACCGAAAATTACGATTTCGCCACTGAGTTGCACACCAAGACGAATCAGGAAGTCTTGTGCGCAATCTCAAAAGTCGCGTTAGCATGCGCGCTGGATATCGTCCGGAAGTGTGACGAGCATACAGCAGACGTTAGCGTGGCCGGATATGCCGCGCTCGTGTCTGCCGTCTGCTCAAACACCACGGACAGTTAAAAGTTTTCTTTCGCTGCTCTTGAATAAATTTCACTGCGCATGCGTTCTCGATTACTTGTGTTTCCGTTTGAATGAGGAAAGTTCGACTTGTTTCTGTGATGTTGGATGTCTGTGTAGTAATCGGGTATTTTAATGAGACATATGTTAAGACACTGTCCCATGCATAACAAGGAAGTCTAGTATATAAATCAACTGGTATGACCCCCCCCCCTCCCCCAAAAAAATGTCCGCCTGTAAATTGCCTGGGAGACCGAAATCACGGATATAATTTTAACTTAATTTCTATCCCGCTGCTGTGTTTCATGTATCTCATCGGGGCAGGCGAGGACGGTCCTCCCTCCCCTCCCGGAAGTTTCAACTACTCTTCCCCCCCCCCCCCCCACCCGGAGAAAAAGTCTGAAAAAAAAAACCACTGTCCAGATGAAAGTTGATAATATTGTTAGAACTATACTAACAATTACAAATAAATATGTCATTAAAGCTATGAAGACAAACTTAAGCATTAACAGAATCAGGTTCTTTCTTTATGTTTGTGTGAGGTACAACCTTATTTGCAGTCCTCTCTATCGCGTGCTGCGCTGAGATCAAACGCCGGTGAAACTTTAAAACACTCTTATCGCAGCCATGTTTGTTTACAATTTAACTTTCACCCGAGTGAGTTGATTGGTCAGTTGGTTGAGCGAGATAAATGCAGTTTTTGTGCACCACTTGAACGAATTCTACACATTATCAAAACAGATCTAATCTGGTAAACACATTACACAACAAACAGGTGAACTCTTTAATCAGGGCTTGACGGTAGTGCCGTTAAAACCAAACCCACCACGCGGTAAAGGAGGCTGAATCTGCCTGCCATCGCGTCCATTATCTGCTGCGATAGTCGAGCCCTAGTTAAACAAAAGTTGGGACAGTTCGGCATGGCTCAACTACTACAAAGCTCAGACAACTCTAAAGAAAAGTAGAGCATATTTATTGATTAAATATTTTTTGCTGCTACTTTAAATGTGATATTTTAAAGAAAAAATTATTATACTTTTATTCCGTTGCAAGCACTAAAAAATCAAACCTATCTTAGTTAGATTTCACAAATGTAATGCTTTTTTACTTTCTCGTATATACGAAGTATAGAGAAAGTATTGTAATCGTGCAAAAAAAAAAAATCGAGATTTTTACAGATCTCGACGTTTTACACCTCACTGATACGGAAAAACATAATTTTGCAATCTTGTCCGTATGTCTGTGTGTGTGTGTCTGTGTGTCAGTGTGTAAACACGATAACTTGAGTACCGTTACAGCTAGGTTGATGAAATTTCATATATAAGTATTATATCAAAATCGTAGATCCGTATCAACTTTTGAGCGATTTCCGACAACCGGAAGTGGTACTTTTTCTACTTTGAATTTTTCAAAAGCCTATAACTTGAGTACTATTTCAGATAGATAAACGAAATTTCACATGTAAGTAAAAGATCTAATTCTCTACCTTCTGTTAAATTTTGAGTAATTTCCGTTGACCAGAAGTAGTAATTTACGCTACTTCCGATTTCTCAAAAAACTAATGTAAATTTTAAAAGTACTAATAATATTGCGCACTATTATGCGCTTTTTTATTTGGCGTTCACTTGGTGTGCAATTAATTTGTCTACGAGATTTTATTCTATTTTTATTACAAGCTTTTATTTAACTCACTTCCTCGTCAGTCTGTCGTCAGTCTGTCGTCAGTCTGTCTAGACGGAAACGCAGGAGTGAAAATTCGGACAGTTCTACTTGACCGATACAATTCACAGTTGGCACGTGGGTCAAGACATGAAGACAATGCAATCTGAAACTAAATTTGACTTAATTGGATGCCTAATTGATTTTTTATGAATTAATTAAAATTTGGACCGAATTAGTAGGCATGTCTAGCCAACCACACCACACGCGTCATCAATAGCTGCGCCATCACGACCACGTAATGGCTGCGTTCAAAAACCATTGCGCGCCTACTGAACGTGATATTCAGTAGGCGCGCAATGGTTTTTAGTCAAGTAACTCTATTGTAGATAAAACATGTAAAGTACTGAAAAAAAAAATTCATAAAAAACGTTTTAATAACAAGCTTTTATGTAATGATGCACTAAAAAGTAGAAAATAAATTATAGACTACTATTTAAATAACTATAAAGAAAAGCGTGGGTGTCTTCCTTAACATTAGTAAAGGTATCCAATAGATACTAAAGTGACCCACGCTTTTCTTTATAGTTATTTAAATAGTAGTCTATAATTTATTTTCTACTTTTTAGTGCATCATTACATAAAAGCTTGTTATTAAAACGTTTTTTATGAATTTTTTTTTACAAGCTTTTATTTAACTCACTTCCTCTGTCTGTCGTCAGTCTGTCTAGACGGAAACGCAGGAGTGAAAATTCGGACAGTTCTACTTGACCGATACGATTCACAGTTGGCACGTGGGTCAAGACATGAAGACAATGCAATCTGAAACTAAATTTGACTTAATTGGATGCCTAATTAATTTTTTATGAATTAATAAAAATTTGGACCGAATTAGTAGGCATGTCTAGCCACCCACACCACACGCGTCATCACCTTCAATAGCTGCGCCATCACGTAATGGCTGCGTTCAAAAACCATTGCGCGCCTACTGAACGTGATGTTCAGTAGGCGCGCAATGGTTTTTAGCCATGTAACTCTATTGTAAATAAAACATGTAAAGTACTGAAAAAAAAAATTCATAAAAAACTTTTTAATAACAAGCTTTTATGTAATGATGCACTAAAAAGTAGAAAATAAATTATAGACTACTATTTAAATAACTATAAAGAAAAGCGTGGGTGTCTTCCTTAACATTAGTAAAGGTATCCAATAGATACTAAAGTGACCCACGCTTTTCTTTATAGTTATTTATATAGTAGTCTATAATTTATTTTCTACTTTTTAGTGCATAATTGCATAAAAGCTTGTTATTAAAAAGTTTTTTATGAATTTTTTTACACGGTTTTATTTAACTCACTTCCTATGTCGTCAGTCGTCAGTCTAGACGGAAACGCAGGAGTGAAAATTCGGACAGTTCTACTTGACCGACACGATTCACAGTTGGCACGTGGGTCAAGACATGAAGACAATGCAATCTGAATCTAAATTTGACTTAATTGGATGCCTAATTGTTTTTTTATGAATTAATTAAAATTTGGACCGAATTAGTAGGCATGTCTAGCCAACCACACCACACGCGTCATCAATAGCTGCGCCATCACGACCACGTAATGGCTGCGTTCAAAAACCATTGCGCGCCTACTGAACGTGATATTCAGTAGGCGCGCAATGGTTTTTAGTCAAGTAACTCTATTGTAGATAAAACATGTAAAGTACTGAAAAAAAAAATTCATAAAAAACGTTTTAATAACAAGCTTTTATGTAATGATGCACTAAAAAGTAGAAAATAAATTATAGACTACTATTTAAATAACTATAAAGAAAAGCGTGGGTGTCTTCCTTAACATTAGTAAAGGTATCCAATAGATACTAAAGTGACCCACGCTTTTCTTTATAGTTATTTAAATAGTAGTCTATAATTTATTTTCTACTTTTTAGTGCATCATTACATAAAAGCTTGTTATTAAAACGTTTTTTATGAATTTTTTTTACAAGCTTTTATTTAACTCACTTCCTCTGTCTGTCGTCAGTCTGTCTAGACGGAAACGCAGGAGTGAAAATTCGGACAGTTCTACTTGACCGATACGATTCACAGTTGGCACGTGGGTCAAGACATGAAGACAATGCAATCTGAAACTAAATTTGACTTAATTGGATGCCTAATTAATTTTTTATGAATTAATAAAAATTTGGACCGAATTAGTAGGCATGTCTAGCCACCCACACCACACGCGTCATCACCTTCAATAGCTGCGCCATCACGTAATGGCTGCGTTCAAAAACCATTGCGCGCCTACTGAACGTGATGTTCAGTAGGCGCGCAATGGTTTTTAGTCATGTAACTCTATTGTAAATAAAACATGTAAAGTACTGAAAAAAAAAAATCATAAAAAACTTTTTAATAACAAGCTTTTATGTAATGATGCACTAAAAAGTAGAAAATAAATTATAGACTACTATTTAAATAACTATAAAGAAAAGCGTGGGTGTCTTCCTTAACATTAGTAAAGGTATCCAATAGATACTAAAGTGACCCACGCTTTTCTTTATAGTTATTTAAATAGTAGTCTATAATTTATTTTCTACTTTTTAGTGCATAATTACATAAAAGCTTGTTATTAAAAAGTTTTTTATGAATTTTTTTACAAGCTTTTATTTAACTCACTTCCTCTGTCGTCAGTCGTCAGTCTAGACGGAAACGCAGGAGTGAAAATTCGGACAGTTCTACTTGACCGACACGATTCACAGTTGGCACGTGGGTCAAGACATGAAGACAATGCAATCTGAATCTAAATTTGACTTAATTGGATGCCTAATTAATTTTTTATGAATTAATTAAAATTTGGACCGAATTAGTAGGCATGTCTAGCCAACCACACCACACGCGTCATCACCTTCAATAGCTGCGCCATCACGTAATGGCTGCATTCAAAAACCATTGCGCGCCTACTGAACGTGATGTTCAGTAGGCGCGCAATGGTTTTTAGTAATGTAACTCTATTGTAAATAAAACATGTAAAGTACTGAAAAAAAAATTCATAAAAAACGTTTTAATAACAAGCTTTTATGTAACAATGCACTAAAAAGTAGAAAATAAATTATAGACTACTATTTAAATAACTATAAAGAAAAGCGTGGGTGTCTTCCTTAACATTAGTAAAGGTATCCAATAGATACTAAAGTGACCCACGCTTTTCTTTATAGTTATTTAAATAGTAGTCTATAATTTATTTTCTACTTTTTAGTGCATTGTTACATAAAAGCTTGTTATTAAAACGTTTTTTATGAATTTTTTTTTAAAACTTTAAGTATTTAAAATTGATTAAAAATCATGTCTATAGCCCGAGTTCCCATCCCCTGTTATTTTATATAAGAATA